CCCCTGACTGGTATGCGCACCTGCACACCCTGGGGGAGATTTGAGCAACTGAAGACGGAGTTTGTCCGCCCCCTGGCCTGCCTCCTGGGTCGTACGGACCCTACATGCCAGGACGCACGGGGCATAAAAGACGACAGTGCGGAGAGAGCTGGCGGGGGAAGGAGAAACTCCTCACTCTGAGGCCTATGCTGTCTCCACGGGAGCCGGTCAGCAACTCTCTCTCTCTGATCTGCCAGCTCGAGAGGATGTTCAGGTCCAGATCAGCAGGTATCACCTCGTGAGTAGTTATCCATACTTTGCTTCTTTTATGTGCTTTCACCTGAATAAATGCTCAATGTAGTCATCTCGTTCTGTGTGATTATTGCCAAATCCCGAGCCCATCTGGAACATAATTGGCGACGAGGATGGGATTCAGCAATTAAACAGTGGAACTCACTAGTGGAGTGCATAGCTAGGTGAAGTTGTGCCACTGGATACAAATTATTTGTGCTATTGAAACAGTGGAACTCACTAAGGTGAGTGCACAGCTACATGAGGTTGTGCCACTGGATAGAAATTGTGTTTGTGTCTGTGGTCTTTATTGGCTATCAAAATAGTGGAACTCACTAATAGGGTGCATAGCTAGGTGAGGTCATGCCACTTGATAGAAATCGTGTTCATGCTGTTTGTGTTTGTGGTCTCTATTGTGTGTGCGACGTGGTGGTTCTTTTTCGGGAGAGCTGCAGCCAGCACTGGCGACTGCAGGGAGGCTGCGCCTCTGAGAGAGTGCCCTGAATGGGGGCCAGAACCATGGAATGCTCTGTGGAACCGATGGGAGACCTGCACCCGGGTATCTCCAGAACCATGGACCCAGAAGGACCCCATGGCAGTGTTACAGAATTGGGTTCTGTAGAGACTGACCATACTAAGAACTCGGTCCAACTGGAACATGCTGGTTGGATGGGAGGCGCTCTGCTGTGTGCATATAAGATTTTAGCGGGGCAGCTAAAGGAGGAATAGGAGAGGAATCAGCTCCTCCAAGAGCAGTTACAGGCAGTCCGAGCCGCCCAGGTGGTGCAGAGGCAG